GTAACATTGTCTAATATTTATAAGAATTATATAAAATGGATTGAGTTGAAATGGAAGAGTTGAAATTATTTGTAAAGTATATTAGAATTAAAAGTCAGAATTAAAAATAAAATCTGAAATATTTTCAATATACAAAAAACTAAAAAAAAAAAAAAAAAAAAAAAATGAAACAAATTTTTTTTTCCAAAATCAATTATTTTGTTAAGACAAGCTGAATGATTCAAATCGGACGCTTAGTTCTCTCAAAAACTGCCATTTTTTACATATTTAGCTCCGTATCTTCAAAATGACTGGTCCTGCCTTTGCCAAAAACTAATAAACACTTCTCCGAATCATTACTAATAGAATGTTTTTTAGATCATTCAAATCGGATACTCCGTTCTCTCAAAAATTCGATTTCTATTTTCTGCACTCTTTGCTCCGTATCTCCGAAACGGCTGGACCTGCCTTTGCCAAAAACTAATCAGCTCTTTTCCCTATCAATAGGAATCGAATGTTTTTTGAACCATTCAAATCGATTGATCCGTGCGCCCTAAAACGTGACTGGAAATTTGTATCCATACATACATACACACACACACACACACACACACATCCATTTTTTCTGAGGTATGCCAAAACGTTCAGAAACCTTCAAAACGTCGAGAAATGTAAAAATTTTCAATTCCGATTTTCGGCCCATTACAATAACTTATCCTACGGAAAGTTAATAATTTCAATAAATTTATGATTTTTATATATATATATATATATATATATTGTATAGCGTTTATGATTTATACATATATATATATATATATATATATATATATATATATATGGGTGGTCCTTAAAATGGTCATTTTCGAATTTCCTTGCTCCCAGGGGCTCAAGTGATTCCAATTAGATAAAAAATAATTCTCTGAAAGTTTTAGCTCTTAATATTAACGTTTAGATAGAGCGCAATTCAATCAAAGTTTTGTATGGAAATAGCATGCAAAAATTTTCAAAAATTTTAAAAATGTTTTTTACATGTAATTTAGCGAACCAATGAATGAATAAAACTCATTCATTTGTCGCTAAGTTATACCTAAAACATTTTTTTTAATTTTTCAAAATGTTTTCCATGCTCTTTCCATACAAACTTTGATTGAATTGCGCTCTATCTAAACCTTAATATTAAGAGCTAAAACTTTCAGAGAATTGTTTTTTATCTAATTGGAACCATTTGAGCCCCTGGGAGCAAGGAAATTCGAAAATGACCATTTTAAGGACCACCCTAATATATATATATATATATATATATATATATATATATATATATATATAGCTACATTTATTATATGACTGCACAATTTAATTTAAATAATCAAAATCAAACAAGCTAAATACTGGGTATCCTTTCAGAATTTTATTTATTACAGAATTAATTATATTTATCATTAAAATTGCTGAAAATTTCTTCGTGACGCTAGATTGTAATTTAACTAAAAAAAGGATATAAAGGAAAAAAGGAATATTTTCAAACACCGGAGTTTATTTTCTTACTAGCTGATGCTGTTTACTGAATGCACTAAACTTTGTTTTTGCGAGCAAAATTCTTTCTCAAATTTTTCGCTCTTGAGGTAGACATTGATTTGTCCTATTTTTTCGAATTCTCTTTCGTTTGTTTTAATTTTAGCGTATTTTTATTTGTGTATCATTTAATCGAATTCAACATAGCTGACACAGCGCGTATTGAGATTGTCCGCCGTCTGGATTCCTGAGCCTAAGTTGAAATTAGTTCTTACGTTATGATGGACTTTCGCCAAAAGTCTGGGCTAAATTTGTCGCAACAAGTGTCCACTTGTCGTTGCCATCATATTTACTACCTAGTAACTGATTCGATAATATCTTTCAGCAAAATCGAAGTTAATCAACACATTTATCAACTGAAACGGTCTGAAGCCGGATGGAAATGATTTATATCGAGATTGAAATATTAAATTGAAACACGATTCAATTGAACCTAAAACCGGCGTAGGTGCATATCTAATTAAATAAATGTTCAATGTTACGCAGGATACTAGTTCAATATTAATATTAGTCATAAGAGGAATATATTTCTTTGGTATCCTAATTATTTTGGCACTATATAGAACAAATGTAAATCCCATGAAAGCTTATTTTTGCTTTTCCTAATGTGGAATATTGATTTGCTGATACATGTTTGTTAATTGGTATTAACAATGCTGTTGTTGTGTGTTTCAAAAATACTTAATTTTTCATTTTCCGGTAAGTTATAGCAAAAAAGTAATCGCAAGTAGGGTAAGTAATCGCAAAAAAGCGAATATGAAAAATTTTGCATATCTTTACGTTTCAGAGTTTTCTGAAAATTTTGGCATACATTAGGAAAAAATTGTTTGTATGTGTGTGTGTATATGTATGCGTGTTGTAGTATATATGTATGTGCGGATACAATTTTTTGCCGACGTTTTCGAGAGTGCGAATGAATCAATTTGAATGATTCAGAAAACGTATAGACATAAAAAAGAACTGATAAAATTTTTGGAAAGGCAAATCCAGCGGTTTCAGGGATCCGATAAAAAACGTACTAAAAATGCCATTAGTCGGTCAAAAATGATCTTTAGACATATGCACATAAAATTGTCAGATTTTAATAATAAGTATAAATTTTGTTTACATTTCTATGGGTTTCGTACCAATGTTTATTTGTAAGATTCAATATTTCATCTCTAAAACAGCTACGCAATGCAATCGCTTCGAAAAAAAAGTTCTAAAGTTTTTCAAACAAAATCAAAATATACCTAAAAGATCGTCATTTTTTTCTAAATTCTCAAAACTCTATTTTTTTTTCAAAGTTTTCAAAAGTTTTATTAAAAATTGAATTTTTGGGACGAGAAGTACCAGCAATTTGCCTTAAGAGTGATGCCATGCACCACTAGTTTTTGTAAATTATCTTACCAAATTCAAATGGCTGAATAATAAAAAACGAGCCAAATTTAAAAAAAATATATTTTACTATGTAAAGGAGAGCATCACAAGCATTAATTGCTTAAAATTTTCATAAAATATAAAATTTGGGCTTGGATCAATGCTCCTAGCAATATTTTTTGGAGTTTTGTATATCTTGTGAAATTGTTTATAGTCTATAATTCTAATAGAATTTGACAAATTGATGTCATGGTAAGACTATGATGACAATTTAGAAATCTATAATATTTGCAATCAATGTCAGATTTAGTAATAAACAACATGCATAGAGCTTAATTTAAGCATAATTCAAGAGCATCCAAAAATAATTTATTATCACATGTATACGTCTTATGAAATATTGAATGACATGGTAAGCATGGTGATACGTTAACTTTACTTGTTATTTTATATAAAAGCTCAACAAAATCAAATAAATATAATTAGATTCACATTGGCAAAATGTAAAGGTCTTAACTTAATAAGATGAAAATTAAATTTCATCTTCATGACTTTCACAAACCATTATAATACCTATTCAGTAGTTAACGTTTTACATACAATTTTGAATTAAATTTACATAAAAAGGTAAAATATTTTCAGCAACATCAAGTGGATTTTTATTTCGGATTGGTATTTTCCCTACAGTTAAGATCATCCAATTTTATTTAATTTCAATTTTTATTTATTAACTATAATTCAGTTATAATAGTAGTCATCTATAATATCATTCTTAATTTTTTAATTGTGGTCAAGGTTTCTACGATAAAATTATCCACTACCATCTGGCAATAATAGTAGACTTGTGAAAACGTCCAAATTGTTCGAGTTCATAGCACATGAGCGCGCAACAAGTAGTACACGTGCTTTTATAAATAAATTTAATAGTGAAGTATTAGCTGCCAATAGAGTAAAAGGTTGTTGGCAAAGTATACAGGTAAATTTAGATATAATACACTTAATTAAAAGTACTATTTCATAAATTTAATTTACGCACAGTATATGTGAGACAGGAGCCATAGTCTTGTTTTACTGCTCATTTGCTTAGCTATCACTTATCATTAACAAGTTAATTAAAGTCAATTATTGATAATCAGAATCGGACAAAAGTCCATGATGCAAAACTGGAATTTTTATTGCACAAAATCTTAGTCAAGTTCTTGTATTTGGGTATGTAGTTGGACCAGAAACTAAACTGCAATACTCATATAAAAATGGACAAGAGAATAAAATTACTATATAGGTTAAAGGGTTTGGATTATAGGAAAGTCACTAACCAATTTGGACGTATGGTATTTAACTTTGGGAATATGCAACTAAACGATCATCAAAAAATATAAAATTGATCACTCCAGCAGCCTGGTACCTATCAAACAAAGTTATATAGAGCAATTTAAAAGTGCACTCAGTTAAGAAATTTATGATAACTAGAATATTATATCGACAAGTACTAAAATTAATAATTATACTCTCAAACTACAACATATTACTCTTTTCTATAACTCAACTAAAAAATAAATTTTATCTATTTAGTTAGAAGTATTAACTAGATAAAGAACAAATAGACTAACAAGATAAAAATAAAATTGATTTACCAGACTTATCTGGTAGTTTAATGTTTTATAAGACAGATGATATGGGGAACATTATACTAAAATATGATTTGATACTGGATACATAGAACTACATAACATTATATTAACAACTTTCATTTTATTCGATAAGCAATTTTCAAACGTATATCTCAAACTTTATTTTTTGTCTGTACATCTACTTATAAAGAATCGTATACTCATAAGTACCCTGCAAAGTACCTTAATTGTCTAACGCAAGCGTTTTAATTATAATGATTATGTATCTAATCGTCTTATCCATAATTAGATTTTAACATGATACCGTGATACAAATGAGTACTACGCAATGTTAAAAGCATTGAGGTGTTAGCATTGAATTTTGTTCAGAAGCAAAATAAATTAGATAATGCAAATTGGCCTATTCATATTAAATAAATAATATTTACATTCATTACATTTTTTTACAGAAACAGTGAACGATAGCAATGAAAAAATATGACTTCAATAAGTGTCCTATTAGAGTGACCGACTGCCCCAACTTTTTTATTGTCTTGTATGAAGAAACATTGGCATGTTTCAAGTAAGTCTATTTTTGATGCTTAAAAATATATAATATATATTATAAATATAATTACATTGGATGATAATGATAATGTTAATATTTAATGTTAATGGTGTATAACGATCTCTAAATTTCATATTTCAATACCCGGAACAAAATAATTTTCAAAACACGAACGCTGTAGGGTGTTGTTCTCTTAAGCGCTCGTTAAAAAGTTTAATCTAAAATTAACAAGATTATACAGAACAATTTTTTCCATATTCAAGTATTTTTCACAAAGTTGTAAATATTGTTTCAACCATCGATTTATATCAGCTATCATTAGGGCGGATCAACTAATATGGAACCGAAAAAATACATGGCACTTTGCATTTTTCACTTTCAATGGTAAGCTATGGTTTCTTCTGCGAAATTTCTTAACTTACCTACCCTAACGTAAATGTTTTATAGTAGTGGATTTTTGATAAAAAGAACTAATATAGAATGCCTGATGCAACAATGATATTAAAGCAAATCAATCGATATCGTTTGATTGAATAAAGAGGCATATTTTCTCTAAAATAAAAGGATAAAAACTAATTTAAAAATAAATCTATATTTACTATAGTTCACAGCTTGTTTGTGATACAATGAAGTATATATTTTGGCAAACACCTAGTAGTAATAGGCGCCAAACAAAAGCGATTCAATGGCTAAAAATAAAATTTAGATGAAGTCTAACTGACAGTATATTATAGAAATGCTCAACGTACATTATTTATAGATGTTATTAAAGAATGAATTTTTTTTATGAATTACGAGGATAATTTACAAAATACTGGTCTTACACAAACAACTAGATATACCGAAGAGAAGTATACCTGATAATTTAAATATTTTATGGCATATAATAAAAACACAATATCAAATAGGTTTATTATATTGAGTAAATAAATATATTAAATTTTAATAAAACAGATATAATTGAATTGTACTTACCGCCAGTGGCGTTCTCTGGTGGAACTAAAATAGTCCTGAACTGAAAAATATAATAAAAAATTAATCGATTGCTATACAGTGTCCATGTTCATAAAATTTATTGAAAAGAAAATATTTCTCTAAAACATCCTTAACTATTATATTACGTATTCTAAACGTTTTTCACGCGTGTATCAAATATCCTATTAATTTACATAAGTTTGTGTATCTAAAAACACTCATTAATTAATGTCATGACCTAATTAGTCAGAAATTTATCATGATTGCCCTTCAAATATATCTCAAACAATTCCTTTGTGATCTACTTGTGCACATAAATAACTCTTAGCGACGTCACATCTACAATTACATAGTTTAGAGATTAATTTGATATCAGGCTGATACTTCATGATACATAAAATTTCAACATATTTCAATTACATAGAAATAAAGACGTGTTTCTATTATCTTTTCTATTATATTTTTATAGATGATATAAATTGATTTTCGCCTAAAACTTGAATGTATTACATCTTTGTGATCACGCATGAATTAGATTTTCATTAATTAAAATGCCCAAATTTCAAATTAATTTTTGTATCAATATTCCCAACATCAAATCTTTTTCACTTGATCATGAAATCTTTTTAAAGTGAAGTAAAATTTTATTATTAATGATATATTTACCTGACTAATTGTGGCTTGCACAATATTTGGCGGGAACATGTTCCTGAAATACACAAAAACATCTGTTATAAATATATAGAATTAATAAGTTCATGAACAAAAATATTTGGTGGTATATTAATTTACGTGCATAAAAACTGCACATATTATGAAAATACATAATTATAAATAAAATGGTAGATAGTAAATATGTAGTATCAAAATATAAATTTTAAATATCAACTAATATTTTTTTTAACCTTACTGAGATTAAAACTACATTATTAGATTCTTGAGTTTTGATTCCAAGAACCGAAAGTTGTTAAATAGAATTTACTAACAAATTATTTTCTAACACTTCAAGGATTTTATAATAATATTGTATTTCCACTTCTCTATTAAAAAGCAAATATTAATTCAAATTCCTTAAATATTTTACATTAAATATTTCTTTTAACCTTACTGAGATTAAAACTACATTATAAGATTAGAATTTTGATTCGAAGAACCGAAAGTTTTTTAGAATTTATTACTGACAAACTATTTTCTAACACTTCAAGGATTTTATAATAATATTGTATTTCCACTTGTCTATTAAAATGCAAATATTAATTCAAATTCCTTTACAGTAATTTACAAGAAATTCATTTTAGATGTGAAAAATGACAAAAATGAAATTTTGAAATCTAAAAATATTTTAGTTTTATTACTGAGGAAAGTCTAGCATGTCATCAGCTCTTCAAACACTTGTGCTGAATTCTAAAAATTATGACAAAAGGTGCAATATAAATATTGGTACATGTGTCTTTCCTTATCAATTTTGATTAGTCAACTGATGATGCTTTATAAATATAAGTTTATACAAAGTCTATATAATTTTAGAAAATTTATAAAAATTAACATAATTGAAAAATCTATAACAATTATTATAGATATGTAAATAATTTATAAGAAAGTTTTTTGTTCTAAATTTAGATATAATTTGTTTATATTCTTAAAAGTCGAGACAGTGTACGATAGTGACAGTGGTCATAAGAGCTAAACTATACTTATTTTCAGATAGGGTCTACAGGGAGAAAGATGTAGTATGATTGTTCAAACAAGTTTACATTATTGCTTTCAGTTAGTGTCCTACATTACATCTAGCTTTCAAATGTCTAGCTTTTAAAGAGTCAAAAGTAAGTTTTCATATTCGAATTCTCTTAATAACAACTTGATTGTATACAGATAAATCGCATTGATTGTTATTTTGCTGTAAGTTGAACATTAGCAGTTATTTACCAGCAATTACGTTTTGCTTAGATTTTAGCTGAGTCATAATAATGATTTGTTTTCAAAAGTGTACGTTGGGTACGGTTGTGACATGTATATCTTGTCCTTTTCGGGTGAAGTTTAAGCAGATAAGAAAAATGTAACTTTTAATTAAAATAAAATAAAATAGAAAGATAAAGGAAAAGAAAAGTTCAATATAAAAAAAAGATTTTACGAAGAATTATTTTTAACTTCGTTTAAACAATTTACGAGGTCTGTTCAAAAAGTTTTCGTAATTTTCGTTTTTTCAAAAAAATATTTATTTATTCGTCTACATTAATGTGGTTCCCTTCAAAGTAGTCCCCCCCAGATATGATACACTTATGCCAGCGTTTTTTTCCAATTTTCGAAGCACCCTTGATATTCACTTTTTGATATGTCCTTGAGCACTCTCAGCGATTTTCTTCAATCGAGGAAAACCGCCGTCCTTTCATGGGTCTCTTCAACTTTGGGAATAGGAAAAAGTCACACGGAGCCATATCTGGTGAATTTTTGCACTTTGCAACACTTTATTTCATTTTTTACGCAAAATTTAATACAAATTCTTTGACTTTTTCAATTCTTCCATTGTAAAAATCGCCGAGCTCAGAAAAACACGTCGAACCTTAGCGACTACCACAGACAAAGTAAACAGTGAATATAGCTGAAAATTTCATCATACTTTAGGGGCATGTATACCAACACAATAAAAAAAAATTTTGACAATCAGACACTCCAGACCCGCGAAATTTAATTATTAGTAATTCCGGGTACTTTTTGAACAGATCATGTATGTTTTGTTATATAATATTATATTTTATTCATGAACTTTGTTTAAATGTTTGTTGTATTCTGTTACAGCTTATTGTTATTAACGACAATAAAAGTCGTTGTAAACCTTTTTGGTGTTTATATCTATTACTTTTAACTCATTTTTACGCCTGTCACAATTGTCCCTGGGGGTGTAAACAGTCTTTCCAATTTAAGTATCTAATATTACCTAACGTAAATGTTCACTTAATGTAATTTGAAGGTTATATCGAAATTTTAAATTTTGTGTTACTGGTACTGAACTTTGATCATCGAAATAAATTGTCATTAATCAGAATTGTCTTAATAAAACGCTTAAATGCTTTATTCTTAAGATTAATGATGAAATTCTTCTAGTTTTCTCTGTACCAAAATACATAAAATTAGTCTATTCCCTTTATAAATTTATTAATATTGTTATTGGAACATTATTGTTCTCTGGAATGTAACTATAAATTCTGGTTCTATATCGAAATTAGAAACTTTCTACTGTCAAATCTAGAATTATATTATTTTAACAGAAATACCTGTTAAAACTATTGTTATTAATCAGATTTCAGTAAATTATACAGATTAATGGGATAATTCTGCTGCAAAATAGGTCAATGTTATGGCAAGGCTATGCTACACTGTGTTTTTTCATATAAAATTGTACTGAAAACTGTCAAAATGCTAAGCATTTGTTGTGTGATCAGGCTTTTTACACATAAAATCTAACTTTTTGCGGATATTATTATGCCACATCAGAAAGTTGCACTTATGATAACATTCTTTTCTGACGTTTTCTAGGTTAGCTATTATATCTACAACGCCTGACTGCACAGCAAACACATGGCATTTTGACAGTTTTTAGTATCATTTCATATGAAAACGCAAAGAACATAACATTGGTATATTTTGCGGCGGAATTGGCCCATAAATTTTCAAAAATCATATAGGCTTTGCTTGAGATTAATGATGAGTCATTTCTTTCCTTCTTTCCACGGCATATATCTATAATCAGTTTATTCATTCTATGAATACATAGAAAACCCTCTAAGGACATTCATGTTCGCTGATATGTAATCTAAATCCTGGATCTATATCGAAATTCGAAATTCGAAATTTTGTACTATCGGTACGGAATCCACTTAATTCATTTCCCCGGAACGGATATACTTGTCTTCTATTATTCAGCTTCCTGAATTGCTTCTAGTTGGGGGATTTGCTCCATTGATGTTGGACCCAATTCACACGTTAAACGAATCATGTCCTGTTATCTGTATGTGCACGCATACAGGGACGGATCGGAATTA